TGCTGCGAAATCTAGAAACACATTCTGCACGAACTGGGATTCGAACCCAAGACCACGGGTTTCTCCGTGTCCAAAGGAAGCAGCTCTGCATAATGATTTGCGGTACCGTGGATGACAATGCCTCCCCGTGCTCTCTTAACTAAATGTGACATCGTGGGTTTAAGGCAGTTACCTTTTACCCGATTGTAGCCACATTCTAGCGGGGACACTAGAAATTGGCTTCACACGTGGGGGAATCGAACCCAGGTCTTTGGCGTGACAAGCGAACGCCACCGCCCATGTGGGTTTAAGCCTCTTTTTTACGACACCAGAAACCGTTTTTAAACATTGATTCCAAAGGGAATGAACTTCTGCCCTCGGCGTGAAGTGCGAACTCTTTACACGGCGACCACGTTCCGTTATCCCTTATAAATGGAGCGACTGTGTATAGCCGACTAGAGAATGTTAACTGTGTTGAACCGACGTCCCAAGGAGGACAATTTCAGGAAATAGCTGAAGCACTAGCCAGTGACAATATGGCAGAGATGAAGGACTCATTAGAAAGTCTCTCCAATGTGCCACATAGTTTCTAATTTATGTAAATAGTTTACAACGTCAAAAGCGTACACATGTTGATTAATTGTCAGTTAATACCCATATCTCTGATATACAATTGCATATGAAGTCTTTTAGATGTAGTGAATACAGACGAATACGCATTTAGCCGACGGACTGAAGTGTATATCTCCTTATTCTACAATATGATATTTAACTTTCATTATCAAAATATCACCTCTGTTTTCTTAGCCCATGAGTAAATAAGAAATATATTGCAAATACATCAGCCTCATCTAAATACCAGATGCCTCAACAACCGCTACGATAGCCCTGACCAAATTGCAAGTTCTGTAACGTGTGCGTGGATGCTCATATCAATGACCAGGATTAGAATTATGCTTGTAACAGAAGACTAACGGGATGTGGTGGCCAGGGACGATGACCTGGTCGACACATGTCTTCGTATCCCAGTTTGGTAAATAGATGCCCATGCTGTTGATCACTTGATTGTCTTGTCCAGACTCGATTATTTACTGACCGCCGTCTTATAGCTGAAATATTGTAGAGTACGGCGTTAAACAACACAGAAACCAGTTTTAGGCTATCGGAAAGTGTCTGGGGGTAACTTGGCAATGTTTTTATTCATTTTCAATGGTTGCTAGTTTCTTCGAAATTAGAAAATGCATTTGAATAGCAATGACTGTTTTGCGAGAGCACACTTACATCACGGTAAGGTCTCGTCAACATTCGGAGCGGTGAGGTAACCAAGTAGTTAAAGCCTTTTGTCGTCACGCCGAAGACCCGGGTTCGATTCCCCACATTGTACGTAATATCCCCAACAACTTGCGCCACATGGGTACAATGTGTGAAGCCCATTTCGGGTGTTCCCCGCTGTAATATTGCTGGAATATTGCAAAAGGCGGCGTAAAACTAAACTCAATCACTTATCAACATTATGACATTTAACTTTCAGTTGTGACAATATTCTCATGTCACAGTTGCCTTGGTTAGTTAACTGATTAAGTTACGAACATACCAGACTAAAATACACACGACAGGTAACAGCGTTAACAACTGCAGTAATATGTTTAGGCCAACTCTCAAAGCTTTTCCCCAACAGTGATTACTTTACTACAGAAACATATTTACAATGAATAGGCTGCAAGAAAACACGATGCAATTCCTTAACAAAACCCAAATCTTAAAAATTCTCCTCTGGGGCCTTTGTTTGATATGCAGTTGCCCTAAATATGAATACCAATCATGCTCCTCAAATACACTTGGTATAAAGGTAGTGATTTCCGTGAATTCATACATTGTTGGATAACATCTCAGTTACATTTTAGATAAAGCATTTGAATTTCAAAACATGTATTTGAGAGAGGATGGATTTATACTTAGACGGCTGATCGATCTTCGTAAGCATATTGTCCAAACAAACTTATATTTAACTTTCAGTTATCAAAATATTTCAGTGTCACACTTATCTTTGAGAGTAAATACTAACCAAACTGCATATAGATCAGGCTCACATACATCGCACGTGCTACAACAGAAGCTACTATAGGCCTCCTCTCAAAGTTCTTCGCAAGTTTACTTTAGGAACATGTTGAAAACGTTCGAGCTGTAAGCACATACGCTGTACTTGTTTTACAGAATCTCCTTAGGGGTTTTGTTGAACTAGCACGTGTCCTAAATCTGTATCGTGTATTCTAATCATGCTTATCAAACACACTGGGGATGTAATGACTCCAGTGAAGTCATACTTTGTTGGATAATATTACAGTACTTTATTCTCGTGAATTCCCTTCACTGCAGTTTCAAGTGATTTTCCGTGAGGAGTAAATGACTGACTACTGGGGATAGCAGAATGATAGCTCTGACCAAACCATGTTGGTCTGTAATGTGCTTTACACAGCAGTTTTCTGTAATCACAGGGGATTCAACTTCAATGAGGTCCCTCAAAGTTCGCAATCCCGTCGATAAATAGAATTTCTTCCCGACCTTGCCTGATCCCAATATATAATAACTTCAATCAGGATCCCACGAGATCTGTACACTGCAGTGATGAATAGATTGGAAGAGAGTTTCTGACATGTAACGAAATAATGATTATATTTCTACAGCCAAAATCAGAGATGCAGTGTCTGTGATAGTCAGCTACAGTCAGAGTTTTCGAGTGGTGAACTCGGACAAGTCAAATGCATCAAGTTGTTCTCCTTGAAGTTCATTTAAGTGTTAACCGAAGAAAAACCATCTTCGGGTCTATCCTCCGATGTACATCTTTGTGAGGTAACTTTCCAAGGCATTTCAGTACTGCTACAGTCTTAAGATAACCTGTCTGACTGATCGCACGCCACTTCCCGCAATATGCAGTTGATCTTTTATCTAGGGTCACCGGAAATGTGCATCATATACACTTATGTAGAAATGGATCATCAGATTATACATAAATGAAGACACACACATACACGCACGCATGCACGCACACACACGCACGCACGCACATCAAACACGCACACACGCACGCACACTCACACTCACACCAAACAAATGTACACCCAACACACACACGCTTACACATACGCACACACGTACGCACACACTCACACATATACCAAACACATGTACATCCAACACGCTCACACACACATCAATCCATCATCCATCCCCATCCATCCATCCACACACACACATCCACACCCTTACATACAGACATACACACCTACACATCCACACATTCATACATGCATAAATACATATATAATACATTAAATAGAACAAAATATTCAGATGCGTTTAAATCTGGTTATTTTTATCAGCTGAAATATTGGTCTTCTCTATTTCCCCATCATTCTTTACAAGTTGTCTCAATACCTGCTTACAAATTTAACTTATGTCACGCCAGGGGGCTTTAAATGCTACAACCAAACTCTTAGAAATTCTTGAGACTCCCAGGAACACGTACTATTCAATAAACGACTAAGGTCCCATCTGGCAATGGTAACTATTAATAATCTAAAGGTTAACATCAATGCGTGGTTTCGGCAGAGCTATTTGCGACTTATTGTACCTTTCACAACTTGCACAAAAACTCTTTTCGAAATTAATATAGAAGTCGTATAAAATTATGAAGCTACGTTTGGTGCGTTCCTATAAGATAATTGATCCATATTTGCCTCATGAGCATTTTTCTGGTTGTTGTTTTCTTTCACATGAACAAGGCAATGCTATCTAATTTTGACTGAAAAATCGACTTCTTGAAATGGGAAGGATATTTAAGTTGCATTGTCTTTTACTTCTACACCATGAAACGATACCAAAAAAACCAGCGCTGATAAACCCATTATCTTTACATTTGTTTGGTATATAAAATATTTGTATTCGCTCTTGTACCACCAACTGTGGTTATTTGAGAATAAATGATTGATTGATTGAAAAGATATATGCAGCGACATCTCCAACTCCGACGTGAGGTAAGTGTTTTCTAAGGGTTTTCAATTCTCACATCTGTGACGATGATGGTGTTATAGTTGGTGGTGATGTTGGTGATGGTGATGGTGATGTCGATATGGTGATGGTGGTGTAGATGGTAATGACAGTGATGGTGATGATAGTAATGGTGATGATCGTAATGGTAACGGTGGTGATGGTGGTGCTGATGATGGTTGTATAGTTGGTGGCGATGGTGGTGTAAATGGTAATGACAGTGATGGTGATGATAGTAATGGTGATGACCGTAATGGTAACGGTGGTGATGGTGTTGTTGATGATGGTGATGATAGTAATGGTGATGATCGTAATTGTAACGGTGGTTATGGTGGTGTTGATGGTAATGACAGTGATGGTGATGATAGTTGTGGTGATGATCGTAATTGTAACGGTGGCGATGGTGTTGTTGATGATGGTGATGACAGTGATGGTGATGGTAGTAATGGTGATGATCGTAATGGTAACGGTGGTGATGGTGTTGTTGATGATGGTGATGATAGTTGTGGTGATGATCGTAATGGCAACAGTGGTGATGGTGGTGTTGATGATGGTGATGACAGTAATGGTGATGATCGTAATTGTAACGGTGATGATGGTGGTGTTGATGACGGTGATGATAGTAATGGTGATGATCGTAATGGTAACGGTGATGATGGTGGTGTTGATGATGGTGATAACAGTAATTCTTGAGACTCCCAGGAACACGTACTATTCAATAAACGACTAAGGTCCCATCTGGCAATGGTAACTATTAATAATCTAAAGGTTAACATCAATGCGTGGTTTCGGCAGAGCTATTAGCGACTTATTGTACCTTTCACAACTTGCACAAAAACTCTTTTCGAAATTAATATAGAAGTCGTATAAAATTATGAAGCTACGTTTGGTGCGTTCCTAAAGGATAATTGATCCATATTTGCCTCATGAGCATTTTTCTGGTTGTTGTTTTCTTTCACATGAACAAGGCAATGCTATCTAATTTTGATGATGGTGATGACAGTAATGGTGATGGTAGTAATGGTGATGATCGTAATGGTAACGGTGGTGATGGTGGTGGTGATGGAAATGACACTGATGGTGATGATAGTTGTGGTGATGATCGTAACTGTAACGGTGGTGATGGTGGTGTTGATGGTGGTGTTGATAGTAATGGTGATGATCGTAATGGCAACAGTGGTGATGGTGGTGTTGATGACGGTGATGATAGTAATGGTGATGATCGTAATGGTAACGGTGATGATGGTGGTGTTGATGATGGTGATAACAGTAATGGTGATGATCGTAATTGTAACGTTGATGATGGTGGTGTTGATGATGGTGATGACAGTAATGGTGATGATCGTAATTGTAACGTTGGTGATGGTGGTGTTGATGATGGTGATGACAGTAATGGTGATGATCGTAATTGTAACGGTGGTGATGGTGGTGTTGATGACGGTGATGATAGTAATGGTGATGATCGTAATTGTAACGGTGGTGATGGTGGTGTTGATGATGGTGATGACAGTAATGGTGATGATCGTAATTGTAACGGTGGTGATGGTGGTGTTGATGATGGTCATGACAGTAATGGTGATGATCGTAATGGTAACGGTGATGATGGTGGTGTTGATGATGGTGGTGGTATAGTTGGTGGTGATGGTGATGGTGGTGGTGTAGATGGTGATGATGGTGATGATGATGATTGTAATGGTAAAGACACAGTTTGCTTGATGAATGATGACATTTTGACATTAATGTAATACACAATACTGTTCAGATGAAACTTGCGTCCAAATGATTAAAATTACAAATACATAGCGTATTCGTCAGGCCCTGTTACCAATTACACTTACGCCAAGCTTTGTAGACGTTTTATAAAATAGAAAATGGTTCAATATATTCCACACTGACAGGTGAACAGGTCACATGGGGATGCTTTTTATGCAACAAAACATTCGTCTGTCAGTCGTAGCTTGTTATAAAGGAATCATTAAAAGCTACATGGGTACCCACGTCCATAGTCCCTGGTCAGACACAGAGCGACTACCTGATTTCCCCTGAGCCAGACCAGATTAGTGGTACACTGCAGTGGCTTTAGCCTCATAATGATAAGATTGCTATTTCCTGAACTCTATACCAGCAATAAATATATTTGCATGCATATCAACAAACGAATATGTTTGGACGCTCTCAGTATGCAATTCTTTCGAGTAAGATTAGATTCAGATGCCTTGAGTTGAAATAGAACGCGGGGGTTTGTAAGTAAATATGAGAAGATATACTATACATCAAAAGTTTAGACTCACTTAAAGCATTCTCACTATATGTTATGCATATATGCATGGTTACATCGAAGATGAATTTCTCCACTAACTTGGGGGAACCTACTGTAAACCTTAAGCAGATGAATTGCATGAGGATCGTGCATCAAATTGCGTGAAAATATCGTGCATATGAACAGCAGCCTTTTGGTGTAAAGTTTTGTTAAGAATTCGCCAATTTTCACCGAGTTTTTTCATTTATTGAACTCATGACAATAATCTCTTCAACGTCACGCATTTGTTTTACAATACATCTTTAAACAGTATGGGATATTTTGCAAAGTCTAGTTTAGAACAGTTGACTGAAGTAAGTGGCTACATTTACACTAGTGAGTTTAGACTTTAGATGGGTTGTATATTTATGTTCTGTGTCATAGATAAGACGGCTACAACATCTGAAGACCTTGGCTATCGCCCCCGGTCGTGATGTTGCCAACAGCGTCAGAAATCCGCATATATCAATCACTGTTTCAACAGAATAACTCGCGACAGCTGAGACAAGGTGGTCGAGCACCAGGTGTTGTACTTTGATTTGACGTCTTAAAGTCGAATAGAAATGCTTGAATATCAAAGGCATCGCTTGCATAGGCCTTTACAAAATAAGTGTGTTGATATATTTCCTAGAGTGGGTGTCAGATAGCCTGAATATTTACATTATTTGCTCAGCTCGCGAGTGGGTCAAGTTTGATTTGTATTGGTTTGAAAACTGCAGGACAAATGTTTGAAAGTAGCCCAAACTGAAGCAATGAAAAGGGTATTTGTTTTGATGTATTGAAGTGTTAAAAACGGAGGTAACCCCAACATAATCAAAGGCAGCATTATAATGAATATTTCCAACCGAGCATTACAAACTGGGGGTAAAATGGAAGTATCCACCAATATTTGATGATGGTTACAAGAAATGTTTATTCGTTTATACTGTATTTAGGGACGGAGCGGTAGCATATCGGTTAAAGCATTCGCTCGACACGCCAAAGACCCGGGTTCAATTCCCCCACCAGTGTTTGGGTGACAGTGAGTCCAACTGATTAGCGATAATTAGAACGAGACACCTTCTCGGTTCATTATGAGGTGAGAATTTGTCCTGATAAATTTTTCTTTTCGCTAATATATTGAATTTTAGCATTCCATATTAAGCAGCGAATTTACTTTCACCTTTTGCATGTGTGTATTATCATGCTGATATAACATCCATGAGTGATGTGAGTGATGCTTTCAAAAAGGTGGACGAGGATTCGAAACTTTGATCATAGGTTTCTAGTGCACCTGGGGGACGCAAGTCTGATGAACACCTGAGACAAATGGGCTACCTGTGTGCCTGTTTCCTATATAAAGACAAATATGATATTTACCTAGGGGCAATGAATAGTGAAACTTCAATTAAACTGGTTTCATCAAAATGCCTCGCGAAAAGATTTAGTGTCTGCAGATCAATAACAAATTGAGTGAAATGAACCATTCTGTGAAGGTTCGTTGCTGCATATGCATGTACTGCCACCTTCGTCAGAACAAACACTATGTTTTGCACCACTAAGCTAAGCAGTCCCACGAGACTTATGTAACAGCTGTCTCCCTCATTGTCACATCAAGCCGGCACTCACACAACGGGAGAGCGTTGCAGTAATGTAAGCTCCTAACTTCACCAGATCCGTCAACTAGCCTTTCCAGCTAAGTCAATCCCAAAACTAAGCTAAGCTCCCCACAGGGTTGTGTTTATGAGAGAGCGCGGACATGTGACGGCCACGACGCTGCACAAGGTGAAACCCTTCTCCCCATGTAACCAGTGACTCCTTTCAGCATTGGTCGGCATAGCAGGCTAATACTAATATATAATACTACTGTTCTGAATGTCCAGCTTTCCCTTCTCCATTGACGTGTTCAATAACATTTCACGAAAACAATTTCATAATTCTCCAGTGATCCTCTCCGATGTATGACTCGTTACATGATTAATGCTAGCCAGGTTATTATCCTGCAATCAGCCGGCCCAACTGCCCTTTCAAAAACAATGACATTCCACTTTTTCCTCCGTTTGTACAATAATGTGAGCCCGGCAAGACCCGTGTCATGACGATATCGCATGCCACGATGCAACTCTCTTGAACATATATTTGGGACTGGCTCCACAAAAGCAAGTAATTTAGTGAAAGTAATTACTTTAGAGCACAGCACAATACAGTATTCAGGTTCAATTGAAGGCGAGTGACGTTGAAGAGATGTATTGGCTATTTTTTCCACCATTGTGTAACACATGGTCAATCTATTTCACATCGCATGCTTCTTCATGTTTGATTTACGACACAGTGACACATAAACGAAGAGAACATAATGCTTTTATTGTGTATTTCATTGTCCGTAGTTTGTAATGTAAAACCGAAGCAGATTCTTTCATTTTATTTATCCCCAACTGTTTGTGATAGCATTACCTCTTATCGTATCCAATGCTGCTAAATAATTAAGTCATAATTACTAATACTTTGTTATTGAGCCACAACAAAATATACTTCCCCGATCATGTTAGTTTCTTTGAATATTTATTACAAAAAATATTGTCATAGGATTTCAATGAGTTATCTCAAATATGTAGTTCCATCTCATAGCTACCAAAAACAACTATTTATTGGGATATTTAACATTTAGATCAATTGTATTTTATATTATAAAGTTTCAGTCAGTGATGCAACATTTGTGTAGAATATATCTTTTAGTTTCGGAGTTGTTACACAAGTTTAGTTGCACAAATCTGGAAATGCATTTTGAACGAGTTAACCGTTGTTAATAAGTATGTCATATTGCCTCTCACAGTTCGTTGATAATTCCTTGAATGTAAATTACATCGAACATAAAATCGATATCAGCAGCGATACATGTAATAATATTGCTCAAAGAGAAGGGAGCTCAGGGGCCGAGCAGTCGCCTGAGGCGATACAGAACTGCATCTCGTGGGAACACCAGAAATCTTTGGTCGTTGGTATAAATCCAGGTTATGTCTGTTGGTTTGTCAGCATTATATCCGTGCCAGGGGTTTAATTTTCCCATCATTACATTTACGACTCAATAATATACACTCAGGGATCACAATAATTTCATGGGTTTTTAGTGTTCGTGGTTTGTATTTGAAAGCTGGTTGTAGTTTTACACGTACTATTTCTCGAGCTGTGGAGGATGTCTGTATATTTACAAATCAGCAGTAATAAAGGTAGATGATATTGCTCATAGGGACACATGCCATAATATGCGTAGGCCAACTCTCAAAGCTTTTCCCCAACAATGATTAAGTTTACTCCAGGAACATATTTACAATGTAAAAGCTGCAAGAAAACACGATGTAATTCCTCAAAAAAATAAATCTGAAAATAAATCTCCTTTGGGGCCTTTGTCTGATATGCAGTTGCCCTAAGTATGCATTCTAATCATGCCCATCAAATACACTTGGGATAAACGTGGTGATTGCTATACATTCATGCATTGTTGGATACCGTTTCAGTTATATTTAGAAAATGCATTTGAATTGCAAAGCATGTATTGAGAGAGGACGGATTTATACGTAGACAGCTGATCAATTTTCGTACGCATATTGTCCAAGCAACATTTTATTTAACTTTCAGCTATCAAACTAAAGTCATGACACCCTTATGTTTGTTTGTGCGTGAATACTAACGACACTGCATATAGATCAGACTCACATACATCGAACGAGTTACAACAAACGCTAAAATAGGCTCTATCAGTGTTCTTTGGAATAGTTTGCTGTAGGAGCATTTTCAAAACGTTACGTGAACTTGCATGTGCTCTAAATATGTATCGTGTATTCTAATCTTGCCAATCAAATACACTGGGGATGTAATGGCTGCAGTGAATTCATACTTTGACTGATTATTGTATATATAGCAGAACGATTGCTCTGACCAAGCCCTCGTGGCCCGTAATGTGCTTTACACAGCAATCTCCTGTAATCACAGAGGAATTCACCTTCAATGAAGCCCCTCAAAGTTCACAATCCTGTCGATAAATTGAATGTCTTCCCGACCTTGCTTGATCCCAATATATGATAACTTTCAAAGGGATCCTGCGAGATCTGTGCACTGCAGTGATGAATAGAGTGGAAGGGTGTTTCTGACATGTAACGAAATAATTGCAGGGTATATTTCTACATCTCAAAGATGCCTGTATCTACGATGCTATAGTCAGAGCTTGAAAGTGGTGAATTTGAACAAGTCAAATGCATTTGGTTGTTTTCCTTGAAGTTCATTTAAGTG